TATAAATAGTGAAACCCAAGTATGTTGTGGCCCCTAGGAACTCCTCCCTTGGAGGGGAAACGAGGAAGTGGTCAGGATGGAAACTTGTTCATGGGGTCTCACTGAAAGGAGATGAGGGAAGCTGGAGGTGGAGGAGAACAGGGCGTGTGAGCCAAAGGACGGGGAGCCTGATGGTGTAGGGAGGGGAGGGCCCTGAGCAGCTCCACACCCCGGCAGCCAGGCCGCTCTCACTGGGAGGCCGGCTGGATTGGAGCGGGGTGAAGCCCCCCCCAGTGTGGGGACAGGTGGGTGGGCCTGTGGAGGAGCAACAGGGAAGCGGGAAGCAGAGTGGGTTAGAGGTGAGCTGCGGGAGCCAGAGGGCAGAGAAGGTGGGACAGTCATCCCCAGGGGTGGGGGAGAACGCAGACAGGGTGATACAGTAAATACAGTAAGTGCTGTGGGAGCACTGCCTTAGCGCCAGATGTCAGTGCCTTTCCCCGAACTCCCCACTAACCCCTTCCACCCCATGCGAGGTTGGATGCAGAACTTAGGGCAGAGGGTGTGGGGTGGGGGGGGCACGGACAAGAAGGGTTTGCCAGTTCTGACACCGAGCTGGCCGAACCAAACAGCAGCCCTGAGCATTTTGGGGTGCCCTTCCTTCCTGAACCCCAGGAAGAGGCCCTGGTAGCAGCTGCCTCATGGTTCCTCCCTGGAAGTCTCCCCTGCACACTCTGTTCTTCGAGGGCAGGGATCTGCTTTCCTCTGCGGATCCCTCAGAATGGACACATAGTGGGGCTTGGGAAACGTCCACAGAGTGAATTAAGGAGCATGAGGCCCCCCGTGGGGAATGGAGGGTTGAGAAATGAGCAGCCTCAGGAGGGACCAGGAACCCCGCCTGTGCACTGTAGTGGCCCGGGCCACCGCTGGGCCCGCATGAGGCCCTGTGGGGCCCAGCCCAACCCACCTCTCCCTCCTTCCCTGCAAGGTATGCCACCACGCTGACTGTCAGCAGCTGCACCACCGGGGACCCCTCAACCTCTGTGAGGCCTGTGACAGCAAGTTCCACAACGTCATGCATTATGATGGGCACGTCCGCTTTGACCTGCCCCCCCAAGGTGAGCATGGGTAGGGACCCCAGCCTGGCCCTTCGAGTTCCCAGAGCAGCTCCAAACTCCCTGTGTAGGGGCACGGCGTCTTGGTAACTGCCGGAACTGTGACAGGGCCATCAGAAGGACCAGAGTTGACTATAAATAGTGAAACCCAAGTATGTTGTGGCCCCTTTGGTGCTACAAGTTGTTTTTTTTTTGTTTTAAGTTTTTATTTATTTATTTATTTGTTTGACAGAGAGAGTGAGAGACACAGCGAGAGAGGGAACACAAGCAGGGGGAGTGGGAGAGGGAGAAGCAGGCCTCCCGCCGAGCAGGGAGCCCGAGGCGGGGCTCGATCCCAGGACCCCGGGATCATGACCTGAGCCGAAGGCAGACGCTTAACGACTGAGCCACCCAGGCGCCCCAAGTTTTTTAATAAGAGAAGAAGTTGGGGGACTGTGCCCCATCTCGAGAGCAGGCCTGGCTCTACCAGGTTCTGGGTCTGCATCTCCTGGAGCTGCTCCTGCCTCTTGACGGGGGCCAACATGGAAAAGGCCCCTTTCTTCCTGTCCTTAGGGCCGGGGACTGCTGGGCAGATCCTCCAGCCAGGCTGCCAGCAAGCAGAAGCAGTGAGGGTGGGGGAGGGCAGGTCACAAGGAACTTGTCGCAGGAACAATAAACCCCTCCTGCTGAATAGGGACCTGGCCTAGGCCCCGCTGCCAACTGGCTGTGCTAGGGTGATTTACAGGCATCTGAGCCTGGCCAGAAATGCCAAACCTTTGTCTCTGTTTTTGGCTGGTCAGAGGGGCAAAAGGACTCTCCCTCTCTGCCAAGGCCCCCTGGGACTTCGGGTGTGGTCACAGTGGTGTGGGAGAGGGGGCCTGAGAGAAAGAGCCGTAGACTTTTGTCACTTCCTGCAACAATCCCAGAGGCAGGATTTCCTTATCCCTATTTTATAGAAGGGTAAACGGAGGCCACAGGTGGATTTGTATTGGGGGCAGGGCATCACCCGGGGTGTCATCCCAGGGTGCTTGTGTCTTTTTGAGTCTAGGGATGGAGAGATGCTAAGCAGTGACTGAGCCCCTTCAGGTCCTCACAGACCTGCAGGGCCCTAGCTTCTCTGGGGAAGGGGGATCCCAGGATTGGTAGCAGGCTAAGAAGGGGGCCAGGGAAGGAGGAGTCTTGACCTTTCCTCCCACTTTACTCCAAAGGCTCTGTCCTGGCCCGGAACGTGTCTACCCGGTCATGCCCCCCACGCACCAGCCCTGCAGTGGACTTGGAGGAGGAAGAGGAAAGCTCTATGGATGGCAAAGGGTAGGTGGGCAAAGCAGACTCTCTGATCTGAGATCCAGGACCAGAGGCCTCTGAAGATCCGACTGGAGACTCCTCCCTGCCCCTGTGGTTGCCCTGATTCCTGGAGGAGGCTGCCCAGCCTGGGTCAGCCTCCAGCACAGTGGGATCAGACTCCGCCTGACTGGGTACCACTGGGTGTGACTCCCGTGTTGGCCACCAGAGGGCGCACAGACCCTTGTGGGCTCTGGCCCGCCTGAGCACACCTGAGTTACCTGGTCACCCTGGGGTGAGCAAGGAGTGGGCAGCCAGCTAGGGCCCATTCACATCCCAACCTGGTGAGGGCCTACCCATGCCTCTAACCTCTGCCCTCTGTCCTGCAGGGACCGGAAGAGCACAGGCCTGAAACTCTCCAAGAAGGCAAGGAGGAGACACACAGATGTAAGGAGCTCCCGGGTTGTCAAGAGGGCTCCTAACAGCCCCTGCCCTTCCTGGGCCCTTTCCTTTCCATCCCCAAGCCTGGCCTGTCTGCTCTGACCTCCAGGACCAGGGATGGGGTCTGGAGTGAGTGGGTCACCCCTGGCCACCGTGCCCTGCAGCCCAGTACTGCCCAACTTAGCCAGGTGGCAGATGCCACAGGAACTCCTCCCTTGGGCAAGAGGGTTACAGGGGACCTCCCTGGGACAGAGGCAGGCTGGGGAGATCCCTGCATTCACTCCCATGCTGGGGTTTCCATTCTGGATCAGGTGGGGAGGGGGTCAGAGACAAGGGGTGCAGAAGCTAAGAGACCCGTGCCCTTTCAGGACCCAAGCAAGGAGTGCTTCACCCTGAAATTTGACCTGAATGTGGACATTGAGACAGAGATCGTGCCGGCCATGAAGAAGAAGTCACTGGGGTAGGGCTTGGTGGGGCCGAGGCAGGGGGAGTGGGGCGGGGTGTACGTGTGGTTTCCTGCAGGCATAACTGTGTATGTCTGTGTGGTGGCCTGTGAGTGAGCAGGTCTCCCACCTATGGGCAGACCCCCCAGGTGTTCCAATACATGTATGCATGACTCAGTTCCTGGATATGGCCCGGCATGTGACAGTGTCTACCCTGGTGTGCTGACACGCAAGTGTGAGGGCATGGGCGTGCTGGCTTGTGTGTAGACACATGTAGGAGTGTGTGAGCCTCTGTTGCAGGTGTGTGCACCTGTATGTCTTTGTGCCTGTGTATGATCCTGTGGGTGTCTCCCTTTTACCATCGGTAAGATGGGGTGGAGCTGGGGCTGTGCATAGGGTGGGGGTTCCTATGACTGCCCCCTAACCTATACACCTCCCATCCTGGGGCAGGGAGGTGCTGCTGCCGGTGTTTGAAAGGAAGGGCATAGCCCTGGGCAAAGTGGATATCTACCTGGACCAGTCCAACACACCCCTGTCCCTCACCTTTGAGGCCTACCGGTTCGGGGGACACTACCTACGGGTCAAAGGTGAGCAGCGAACCTGGCAGGCAGGGTGGCTGGGCCCTGGCTGGCCTCCCAGAGATGGCTGCTTCTTCCCATGCTCAGATTCCCATTGGCCACAGCCCTGAGCAGGCTCATTACCATACAGGTGTCTCTGCGGGGCCCTGGCAAGAGGTGCTGGTGGGGTGGGGCCCCAGGGGAGGGCAGCTAGGCCTTGGTTTGGATCCTCAGGAGAGAGAGGTCTGTGGTCCCCTTCTCCACTGGAGCTGAGGATCTCTCATTGCCCCCAATGCTGCCCCAGCCAAGCCAGGGGACGAGGGGAAGGTGGAGCAGGGAGTGAAGGACTCCAAGTCCCTGAGTCTGCCAATCCTGCGGCCAGCCAGGGCCGGGACCCCCTCCTTGGAGCGTGTGGACCCCCAGAGCCGCCGGGAGAGCCTGGACATCCTGGTGAGGCCCTGTGTCAGGACTGGGGGTGGGGAGGGGCTTAGAGGGGAGATCACCTGGGCCCCTCACCCCTCTCCTGGGCTTTAATTTCCCCTTGTGGGAAATAGGGCTGGCTCTGAGGACAGGGGGCCCCAAGATAATGGGTCTTGTCTTTGAGAGTCTGCTAGTGCCCAAAGAGTGTGTGTGTGTGTGTGTGTGTGTGTATGTGTTGTGGATCCATTTGGAGCTATGCTCATAAGTGCATCTAAATATGCGGGTGACTGTGTGGTGCTTGGGGCTGGGTGGGGGGTGGTCCAGGTGCATCTGTGCCTGGATCTTCCAGCCCCCAGAGCAGGTACGGATCTCAGAAGAGGTGGCATCCCAGGGTGGGGGTGCGGAGACCCTCCCACATCTCAAGCTTGCCGGGGGTCTAGGAAACCCGCCGTGGGGTGGGGCTGTGGGAGCCAGGGTGGGCCTGGCCTTGATCACCCTCGCCGGCCAGGCCCCTGGGCGCCGCCGAAAGAACATGTCGGAGTTCCTGGGGGAGACGAGCATCCCTGGCCAGGAGGCCCCCACGCCTTCAGGCTGTTCTCTGCCCAGTGGCAGCAGTGACAGCTGGAAGAACCGGGCAGCCAGTCGCTTCAGTGGCTTCTTCAGCTCGGGCCCCAGTGCCAGCACCTATGGCCGGGTATGTGGTCCCCAGGGGGGCCCTGGGGCAGGGCGGCTGACTGGCCCTGTCCCCTGACCCCAACCACGGGTCTCCTTCCAGGAGGTGGACAAGATGGAGCAGCTGGAGAGCAAGCTGCACACCTATGGCCTCTTCGGGCTGCCCAGGCTGCCCCGCAGGCTGCGCTTCGACCACGACTCATGGGAGGAAGAGGGGGATGAGGAGGAAGAGGAAGATGATGGCTGCCTGCGGCTGGAGGATAGCTGGCGGGAGCTCATTGACGGGCATGAGGTCGGTACCTCTGCAGCCCTCCTTCCCGCCCTCCCCGTCAGGGAAAGGGGGACGCTTCTCCCGATTTCATGGGGCCCTTGCAAGGACCCAGTGACAGGATGCTCTGTGGGACAGCCCTGCCAGGCTGCTGTCATCATTAACTCAACGTGGGGAAACTGAGGCAAGGAACATGCAGCATGCCACTTGGCTGTTTTGGTGGCAGAGGAGGGCCCAGAACTTGGGGGACCTCCGTGTTCCCACCGGGAAAAGGAGGTGGCCTGCAAGGTTGCGTGCCCCCTTCCTGGTCATCCGGGCATACTCTGGAACCCTTGGCCGACCCCCTGCACTTCCTGCAGAAGCTGACCCGGAGGCAGTGCCACCAGCAGGAGGCGGTGTGGGAGCTCCTGCACACAGAGGCCTCCTACATTAAGAAACTGAGGGTGATCACCAACGTGAGTGTGGGACTGCACCCGGCCCAGAGCCACCCTGCCCAGCAGAGCTTGGGACTTTGCAGAAGGAACAGGGGGAGGAAAGGGAGAAGGGCTGTGCCCCAGGGAGGAGGAGGAGCACGTGATTCCCACAGGCCAGGCACTTGCAGGGGACTATGGGCAAGTGTGCGGAGTTGGCTGGATGAACACTAGGCTCATGCTTTCACTCATTTATTCAGTGACTATTTCTGAACACCTGCTGTGTACCAGGTGTCCAGCAGCCACACCCTGGATGTGGAGGCAGAGTCTGTGCGTGTGTGTGTGTGTGTGTGTGTGTACTTCAACCTAGGGAGGGTACCTATCCTGGGCTTGGGGTTCAAGGAAAACCCCTTCGTTGAAACTCGGAGGGTTTCAGGGCAGAGAGGGAGGGGAGAGCTCCAGGTGGGACTGCAAGACCAGTCTCCCAGAGATTTCCCTCCAGGTGGGGACAGGACAGGCTGACCCCCAGGTGGGCCATGGAGGCTGGGCCTTTTCTGAAGGCGTGAACCGTCTCTGTCCCAGGCTGCTTCAGGGTTTCCTGGGAGGGGGAAGGGCTAGAGGGGAGCCAAAGAGTCTGGGTGGGGCGTCGGGACTGGAACAACCCCCAGCTGCCGTGCTCCCTGTTCCCACAGCTGTTCCTCTGCTGCCTCCTGAACCTGCAAGAGTCGGGGCTGCTGTGCGAGGTAAGGCGAGGCCTGGGGCCCCGGTGCTGATGAGAGGGTAGGGACCGGTGGGGCGGGGCCTGTCGTCGGGGGCGGGGCCGAGGGCGGGGCCGAGCGCATCTCCCGCCCCGCTCAGGTGGAGGCCGAACGCCTGTTCAGCAACATCCCAGAGATCGCGCGGCTGCACCGCGGACTGTGGACCAGCGTGATGGCGCCGGTGCTGGAGAAGGCGCGGCGCACGCGGGCGCTGCTGCAGCCCGGGGACTTCCTCAGAGGCTTCAAGATGGTACGAGCCGGGCCGAACACTGGCGGGGACACTGCGTCAGGGCTGGGGTGCCGATCCCAACTGCCCATCACCCCAGCCTCCCTCCCCACCCCCCCGTCCGGCCAGTGGCCCCACATAGTGGTCGAAGGCAAAGAATTCCGAGTCGGTCCCCGGGTTTGAACCCCACCCGGCCATCTGCCTTTCCTACCTGGCCGAGGGCGGTCACTTTCGCGGGAGTTCGGTTTGGACACGGGGGTGATACACTTGCCACACCCTGGGGTGGTCGCGAAAGTGCAGTAAGACAGGGCTGGTGAAGCTCCCGGCGCGGGGCCTCGCCGCGGAGAGCGCGCGGTAACCGTGCCTGTTCCGTCCCGGGCCAGTTTGGCTCCCTGTTCAAGCCCTACATCCGATACTGCATGGAGGAGGAGGGCTGCATGGAGTACATGCGCGGCCTGCTGCGCGACAACGAGCTCTTCCGGGCCTACGTCACGGTGAGGGCGGGCGGGGGCGCGGGCCTGTGGGCCCACCAGGGCAGCAGGTGCGCGGCGGGCGGGGCCTAGAGCCAGGGGGCGGGGCATGCCCTGAACCCCACCCCCGCCTGCGCCGCAGTGGGCCGAGAAGCACCAGCAGTGCCAACGGCTGAAGCTGAACGACATGCTAGCCAAGCCCCACCAGCGGCTCACCAAGTACCCGCTGCTGCTCAAGTCCGTGCTGAGGAAGACAGACGAGCCGCGCGCCAAGGAGGCCGTCATCACCATGGTAACCGGGGCGGTGGGCGGGGTCCCTCCGCGGCTCGCGGCCCCTCCCAGACCCTGGGCCTGAACCCACCGCCGTCCGTCCCCCGCCCCCAGATCGACTCGGTGGAGCGCTTCATCCACCACGTGAACGCGTGCATGCGGCAGCGGCAGGAGCGGCAGCGACTGGCGGCCGTGGGGAGCCGCATCGACGCCTACGAGGTGGTGGAGGGCAGCAATGACGAGGTGGACAAGGTGGGGGACCCCTGGCCCTGCTGGAACGGAGGAAGGGCCAAACTGGCAGACCAGGGCTGTGCTGGGAATCTCGCTTGAGGATGCCTAGCCGAGAACGGGAGTCAGACCCTGACCTCTCTACCCCCCACCCCCTGCCCTCCCACCCATCGCCAGCTCCTGAAGGAGTTTCTGCATCTAGACCTGACAGCACCCATCCCTGGCGCCTCCCCTGAGGAGACACGACAGCTGCTGCTGGAGGGGAGCCTGAGGATGAAGGAGGGGAAGGACAGCAAGGTGACTCTAGGGGCCACCCACCCCCAGGGCCCCTTCCCCACCCCCTCCTGCCCTGTGGGTTTGGACCACCCTTTCCTGAGAACCCTCTGGGCCCTAGTTAGTGGTTCTCAGCTGCCCTGTCATTTGGGTGGCAGTTCAAGAAGGAAGGACTTTGTGGTCATGTGAGGGCTGATGATCTGCTTGCAGTTTACTCTTTACAAATATGGCAGCAAGAGCACAGCAGGTCGGGGGCTGGGCTTGCCCACTTGCTGGTGCCATAAGGGTTCCTGATGGGAGGGAGGGGGTGCATTCCAAGAGCAGGTCAGGAACAGCCCAGAGCCTTGCTCCTGAGCTATTAATCCCAGGTGCATAACCCAGAGCCTGCAAATTGTGGTTTTAAAGATTTATTTATTTATTTGAGAGAGAGAGAGTGCATGCGAGTGGGGAGAGGGAGAGCAGACTTTACACTGAGTGTAGAGCCCGATGCGGGGCTCGATCTCAGGACCCCGGGATTATGACCTGAGCTGGAACCAAGAGTTGGATGCTTAACTGACTGAGCCACTCAGGTGCCCCCAAATTGTGGTTTTAAAATCACAAATCATAGATTCCCTTTTTTTCTTTAATGTAAACTTTTTATTGAAATAAATTACAAGTACATAGCTCCTTGAAGGAATACCATCTTCCTCTTCATTTTAATTTTTTTTAAAGATTTTATTTATTTATTTGAGAGAGAGAGAGAGAGAGCACGAGCAGGTGAAGGGGGAGAGGGAGAAGCAGGCTCTGCACGGAGCAGGGAGCCTGATGCGGGGCTGGATCCCAGGACCCCGGGATCATAACCTGAGCCGAAGGCAGACGCTTAACGAACTGAGCCACCCAGGCGCCCCTTTGTTCATTTTAATTTTATTCTCAGGTTCTTGGGAGGCAGGAGCAGGGAAGGTGTTTGACAAAATCTGAGTGCCCCCAGCGACATCACTAGAGTGCAGTAAGGAAGAGCTTGTGCGGGGCCCCGCCCAAGAGAGGTTGTCACAGCAGACAGGCTGAGGTCCCAGGACCCTGGCCCTGATCCCTGGCCTTGCCTGCTCCCCTTGCTGCCCCTCCCCGCCCCCAGATGGACGTGTACTGCTTCCTCTTTACGGACCTACTCTTGGTGACCAAGGCAGTGAAGAGGGCTGAGAGGACCAAGGTCATCCGGCCACCACTGCTGGTGGACAAGATTGTGTGCCGAGAGCTGCGAGACCCTGGTGAGGAGCCTGGCCCTGCTGCTGGCCAGGG